TATTTCCTGGCTCAACTCATGTCTGCATACCTACGGGTCAGCTCCTCCCCCCTGACCCCACAGGACCACCTTTAAACTAGCTATAAAAGACAAGCTCCCTCCCCCAGTACCCGTTGTCTTTTTTTCCTCGCTCCAGGCCACAGTGTTCATGGATCCTCCCTGCCATCTCCCAGCTGGGTTCAGCCTCTCCCGAGCTTGGAAGACCCATCCGCTGGCAGTAAATCTCCTTGGGAGCGGGTGCCCGTGATGCGGGGTTGTGGAGGGGAGCTATGGTGTCTCGTTTCCCATCTTCCTTCTCCCGCGAGTGTAGCGGCGAGATCCCTTCTGCGCAGGCGCCTGAGACCCGGAATCTGCGCAATCGCGTGGATTGCTATGGGGAAAGCGGGACGCTAGCGGCCGCGCAGGCGCAGTCGGAGCGTTCGCAGCCGAAATTCGGATGCTCCTATCAGCAGGCAGCGCTGGGGATTTATAGCTCGGCAGGACACGCTGTATCCTGCCTGGTCAGCTGCTTCTCTGGATCCTCGTGCTGCGGCTGTGTGTGGCGTCCTGTCTATCTGTTGGTGAGTCTCTCTGTTTTGGTATATTGGGGGATTGTGAGGGCTGGTCGCTGTACTATACTTCCTTCCGTCTCTCTCTTCAGCAATCTGCAGTATCATGAGCTCCCCTCGTCCAGTTTCTGACGCACTGCAAACTACTGAAAGGTAGGGAGGCAACAATGGCATGTGAAAACAAAGTAAAAGAGTGGCATGATGAACGGATATTTTTTAATATTTGTTTGTCTTTCAGGAGTAAGAGCCCTGGGCATAAGAGATCTAGGAAGCGCAAGGATAGGAGACGCTCGTCCACCTCGGATTCATGTCATGAGCGTTCGCCACAGCGCCATAAGCATAGATCGCATGCAGGACCTGCTTCCCCTCCGGCTAACGGTCAGGACTTCCCACCAGGTTCCTGCTGGTCATGTTCTTTACCAGTCCCCCCAGGGAAAATGGTGTGTCGGGCATGCCTTAAAGAGGTGGCCAGGGACAAAGAGACGGACTCATTGGAGATTAGG